AATGCCTTCTTTGCTTCAGTCTTCACTGCAAAAGCCAACCTTCTGGAGTCCAAAACCCCGGAGGTAAGAGATAAGGTCTGGAGAAAGGAAAATTTTCCCTCGGTAGAGGAGGACCAGGTTAGAGGCCTCTTAGCCAAACTGGACATCCATAAATCCATGGGCCCTGATGGATTGCATCCATGAGTTCAGAGAGATCTGGCAGATGTTATTGCTAGGCCACTCTCCATCATCTTTGAGAGGTCATGGTGAACAGAGGAGGTGCCTGAGAACTAGAGGAAGGCTAGGTTCACTCCAGTTTTTAAAAAGGGCAAGAAGGAGGACCCAGGGAACTACAGGCCAGTTAGTCTCACCTCTGTCCCCAGTAAGGTGTTGGAAAAAAATTTTCTGGACATCATCATAAAGCAAGTGAAAGTAAAGAAAGTCATTGGCAGAAGTCAGCATGGTTTCACCAAAGGGAAATAATGTTTGACCAATCTGATTGCATTCAATGATTTCATAACTGGCTGAGGAGACCAGTGGATGTTACCTACCTTCACTTCAGCAAGGCTTTGACACTGTCCCATAACATTCTCATTAGGAAATGGAGGGAGTGTGGGCTAGATGTGTGGACAGTGAAGTTGACTGAGATCTGGCTGTGTGACAGAACTCAGAGGGTTGTGATTAATGGAGCAGAGTCAAGTTGGCCTGTAACCAGTGGTGTCCTCCAGGGGTCAATACTCAGTCTGATCTTGTTCAACATATTCATCAATGACCTGGAAGAGGGGACAGAGTGTATCCTCAGCAAGCTTGCTGATGATACCACACTGGGAGGGGTGGCTGACACTCCAGAGGGCTGTGCTGCCATCCAGCAGGACCTGGACAGGCTGGAGAGCTGGGCAGAGAAGAATCTAATGAGGTTCAACACAAGGAAGTGTAGGGTCATTCACCTGGGGAGGAAGAACACAAAACACCAATATAAGTTAGAGGTGGACCTGCTGGAAAACAGTTCTGAGGAGAAGGATCTGGGAGTCCTGGTAGATAGCAAGTTACCCATAAGCCAGCAATGTACCCTTGCCCCCGAGAGGACAAATGGAATCCTGGGTTATATAAGGAACACTGTGGCCAGTAGGTCAAGGGAGGTCATTCTCCCCCTTTACTCTGCCCTGGTGAGGTCACAGCTGGAATGATGCATCCAGTTCTGGGCTCCCCAGCTCAGGAGAGACAGGGAGATACTAGAGAGAGTCCAGTGGAAGGCAAAAAAAGATGACTGGAGGACTGGAGCATCTCTCTTATGAGGAAAGGCTGAGAGAGCTGTGACTCTAGCCTGGTGAAGAGAAGGCTGAGAGGAGACCTTATCAAGGCCTGAAAAGTATCTAAAGGGTGGGTGCAAGGAGGATGTAGACACACTTTCTTCAGTAGTTCCCAGTGACAGGACAAAGGGCAATGGGCACAAGCTGGAACATAGGAAGTTCCACATAAATATGAGGTAAAACTTCTTTACAGTTACAAAGCACTGGAATAGGCTGCCCTGGGAGGTTGTGGAGTTCCCTTCTCTGGAGATACTAAAAACTTGCCTTTTGTAATGTGCTCTAGGCAATCCTGCTTTAGCAGGACTAGATGATCTCTGGAGGTCCCTTCCAAGTCTGACAATTCTGTGATTCTGTGATTTTTTAATGTATTCATAGAATACAATCTACTACATTTTTTTTTTCTACAGTGAACCTATTCTTTAGGTGCTAAGGTTCTCTGTCTGTCATGGCCTTCCTCCCAGGTCACGGTGGGTCTTGGTGGAATCTGGCAATAGCTCCATCCATAAAAAAAAAAGCTGAACCTCCCCAAAATGTGAAACCTCCACATCTATGGATGTGTGTCCTCCACTGACAACCAGACCAACCCATTTTCCACAGACTAAGTAATACTTCTCACTAAATGGTGATCTCAGTTGGTATCCAATTAATCTGATTCAGAAACTTGGTAGACAATTTTACAATGCAGTTACTGACTAAACTGTTCTGTACTCTAATCAGTGGGATTGTCACTGAGGTGTTTTGGTATTTGTATTTCATTTGGTATTTTGTTTATATATGTGTCAATGACATGAAAATGTACTTCCTGATTTGCACCTGTAACTATTGATATGTGAATGTGACCACTATGCCTTCACAAGTTTTCTCTAAGAGTACTCAAGTAGCACTTTCAAGTAAAAGTATGAAGGAATTATAAAGGATGGATTCACATGGTACAGAACTGAACTGAGCCTGGGATGGGAAAAATCAATTTAAATAAAATCATCATGATCTCTTTCTTTACTCCTCAGTGAAATAAATTTTCATTTCAGAACCAATTAAAAATTTAAGTTCATTTCAGAACTATTAAAATATTTCATGTATTGTTTTATTTATTAAAATAAAAATATTAAACTATTATTAAAATAAAAATATTAAATTGTGGAAAGACAATTTAAACTGTTTGTTTTTTTTAGTGAATAAAACATCATATTTACAGTACTCACTGAAAAAGAGAGTGTACAAAAATGCTGACTGGAACACGTACATTAAATGTGCTTGTGAATGCAACGTTTCTACAGGTCAGTATCTCACTAGGGAAGAAAACAACCAAACAATAACAGTATAAAACAAAACTGTTGAAAAGCAGAGATTTTCAGATTCTCCATCATTTATTTTCCAGGAAAATTGCTTTAAAAAGAAAAATTCTGAAAATGGAAAGTGTATTAATTATTAAATATTTTTGCATTAACTTGATAAACAATAAAATAATAGTATGAAGATTTTTCTGTCCTTTGAGGAGTGCATTCTATTGAGTTTTAAATGATAATAAACTATTGAGAGCTGACTGAGGTAGCTAATGAATGTAACACAGCAATTTAAAAGTTAATTTCTGAGTGTCTGTTATAGTTTTCAGAGTTTTTTTTATCTTAGTGGGTTTTTTATGGTTGTGCAATTGTAGTAATTGAAAGTAGATTACAAAAATTATTCTCCTCTGGACCTTTCAGGAGGAAAAATAGAGATGGAATCTCAATGATGTTTCATCTGGGAAAATATGGAAATATAATTTTCATAAAACATAATGGTTAGAATGCTTCTACCTGCAATCATTATTATAGGTACTATGCACAAAATTTAAATTAAATTAGACAGCTTCTCCTGGTTCTTTTCCAGCTTTGGCAGGGCAGAGAAAGGTATATCTGGCATATGTGTGAGCAGAGAGATAGGCCTTCAGAATTACAGGTTCACCAGCAGCATGAAATATTATTGTCCCCTTGAGCAGCATCAGGCCCACCCCACACGACGGCAGGAGCTGTGCTGGTGTCAAGACTCCTCTCAAGGTATGGCCAGATCTAGCCTAGTCTGTGCAATGGGAATATGCAGTGGGAATCTCTGGGGTAGGCACTCATACTAAATGGTGAAGACAGCCCAGATGATTTTCTGTTCATGCAGAAGGCAGCAGAGGAAAGAATTTTAATGTGGTAGGCTGAAGAATGCAAATAATAACTTTTACAAGGTGAGAAGATGATATCAGAGGGCTAGAGGAGGGCAGGGCAGCTCTGGGAACTCATGTGCAACAGAGGTGTATTTTTGGAGTGCTACTGTTTTTTGGAGAAAAGAGGCAATACCAAAGGCAGAAGGTGCATCTCTCTTGTTCCCAGCTCTGACTAGAGCTGCTGGATTTAAAAGTAAATGGGGGATCAGAGTCCTAGAGTGTAAATTTGTCAAGATAAGCAGAAAAAATGGATCTTGGCAGAGGAAGCTGAGATACTATTTCAATCAAGGCAACATGTAGCAAGTGAGACAAGGCAGGCTTAGCACCCTCAAAGACAGAAGAGGTGAGAATTATGTGGAAAAACTGGAATGTGAGGCTTAAATAATATAGAAGCTTAAGAAAAAAATAAACATCCCACTGTTGATAGGTACCCACAATACTTAAGTCAGAAGGGCTGAAAGAGAGTTTGTACTCTGTTGATGTCATGCACTTGCAGCAGCAGGGCAGCATGTGAGCCAGAAAGCCACAGATGCTGCAGGTGAAACAGCTGCAGGAGAGTGGGATAGAAAGGTGGGAAATAAACAGATGTCCACATTTCTTATATGTAAATTTTATTAGATTCTCCAAGCCCTTCTGATTTTCAGCTCTGCCAAAGAAGGAAGTCTACACTGGCATGTCTTGGAAACGTGTAGTAACATTAATGGAGAAGTCGGTGTGATCTCAAGTGTGTTGTGTCCTGTGAATAGGGAGAAGCCTCATGCCAAGCCCAGTTCCTTGGTAATCTCTTAAACAACAAAGCGAAAACACATGAAAGCAAACAAGATTATAATGTTGCATAATCATTGGCCGATTTTTATTCATATTCTGCAAAAAAAAATCTTGTTATCCGAGCCTCGGTGACCTCTGAAATCAAGAAGCCAGGAAGTGTGACACACTCAGAGGAAAAAAAACTCTGATGCTCCATATGTATGAAAGGACTCTGCCTGCATCAGCATTGTGAGGCAGGATAATGGGCTCTAGTGGCACAACAGAGCAAGGGTCACCCCACTGAGAGCAGGATGGGGATGGAGTTGCCATCTGCACATTCCTGATTCTCTGCATGATAATCAGCCCATTTTTAAAAATATACTTTGCATGCAAACGCATGTGCTTAAAGCTTAACATTTATATTAGAGACATATGTGGCATTGTTTGAGCTGCAACCTCATTAGCATGTTGATATGACATGCCACCTAAACAGAATGAAGCTTGCATGGGAGAGATTAAAAGGTAGGTGGAATTGGCCAAGGGCAGAGCAGACAGAGGCAAACAGTAATACTATATCTAGCACCAGGGAGAGTCACGCTTTTTATTTACTATGTGTTTTGATCGATGACTCTAATAACCTTACAGATGAAGGTGTACAAAGAGCAGTGATGACCTAAAATGTAGTTTTCATCAGAGCTCTGAGGGCCAGTCCACAGCTGACTAAAGGCAATGACTGTAGGTACAAACAGGAAGACTCTGAACTCTAGGCCTAGATGGATCAAAAAATCAAAACAAGGAAAGAGCAAGAAAAAGAAGATGGACAAGTTCCTAAAGCAGTACTGACATTAATGTGTGATGAGAAGGTAGGAGATGTACTACAAAAAATCACAACTGTTGCTATAGATGATGCTTATTAAAACATCCAAGGGAATGACTGCCTCTGTTGTGACAGAAAATCATAAAGGATAAGCATGGATTTTGCTAACCAGAATGAAGCTGATTTGAGGCAGAAGCAAGAAGGGAGAAAGAAAAAATTAAACTACGTGAGAAAAGGAACAAGCTCAGAGATTTAATGTGAAAAGAAATAAGAAAACTCAGCAGTTAGCTGCAGCATATGAGCTGGCAGCTACCTCTGGGCTAGGGAAAATGAAGGTTACAGATCAGTGAATAGCTTGGACTAAGACTGAAGTAAAGTAAACTGCATGGATGACATCCCTAGCACTATACAGCACTTAATTGCATTAGAAAGTCTGGATACTTACAGAATTCACTTCTGTGTCTACATCAGAATAAAGAATGTAACCAAAGGGAGACTGATTTCTTGCAGAGATTTTTTTCTCTATTTGGGGGTCTAGGGAGCTGAGGGTGATTTCAGTACTTAGATGCATGCACAAGCCACCAAGAATAGAGAAAAACAGTGCCAAGACTGATGTTGGTTTCTGGAGCTGGGGGCTATTGTGCTGAAAGCTTGGCTGGATTTCATCTGCTTTGTTCAAGTAGAGCATAATAGAGGAGTTTTGAATTAGATATGAAAAGGGGAAAAGAACTGCTACTTAAACTAATGTGATATGACCCAATATGAGGCAGAGCTCTGAAATAGATCTGCTTACACCTTCTCCTTCTGGTAAGCACATGAAATCTGTTTCAACCTCTGCAGCTGTGTTTCACTAAAAAGACAAGCCAGAGCTCACTCTTGCAGCCAAGGAAACCCAAATCAGCTGCATCTGAAACAGATTAAAACAGAAAGTCTTGTAAACAAACCTCTTTCTCCTCACAACCCCAACCCCCTGCTCTTCAGGGTAGGTCCTTTCCTTCAGTCTTGCTAGCAGGCCAGCAACTTTTAGTAGCTTCCAAATTGCAAGGAACTTTACACAGCGTCTCTCCATGGGACAATCTCTTTGTTTTCAGCCTCACTGTTATGGGAGGCTCCCTGTTGCAGCCTCTGTCTGTGAGCAGCCCAGCTAAACTGCACAAACTTCCTCCCCTGCTGCCTCCTTCACTCTCTGCCAGGGCTCTGTCTGCCTCAACTGCAACAGTCCAGACTCATCTTATAGGAGAACATGCAACAGCTATAGTATAAATGGTGAACACACAAGTAAAACCCATTACCCCTTGCCACATTTCAATTTATCTAAGTTACACCAACACAGAATCTTGGTATCAGAAGGGTAATTAAGATGTCCCCTTCTGCTGCAAGGCACTACATCATATGGTATCATATAATAAAATAATAATGGTATTATACATCACATCAACTGGGGAGCCAACTGGCTGCTTCACTGTGAGACCAAAATTAAATGAAGAAAGACTAAAATTATATCCCAACACATGTGCATGTGGCAATGGGGCAGAACCAGAGCACTACCAGGGAGGGTAGTGGGAGTGTAGCTCTTGTCCTGTGAAGGCACTGACCTTGCCAATACTCATAAATTAGAGTAATACAACATGGCATACGAAAGAGTGGATACAAACATGAAAAACATGTTTGTGCGAAGTGAGAAGAGATGACAATCAGTACACAAGGAGTGTTAACACCAAATCAGTCAGGATACTGAACTGTGGCTACAACTGAGTTGGTTTCTGAGTTTAGCTGCAGCTGAGCTGACAGCTACCTGAGACCTGAACACAGTGCCAAAAACAGATCAGCATCAGCCTGTTCCTCCTCATCCAGACACACTATTCATTACTTCAGGTACACATGCATATGTACATAAGCAAACACACACAGAGGCAAGTTATTTTGGTTTTGTAGCCTTTTTTTTTTTCATTTTCTGGCATGTGATTCTTCTGCATGATGCCAGCATCCAACCCGAGCTGTAATTCCAATCTATTGACAATCGCCACAGGCGTTTGGTGACATTTATGCACCTTTTGTGTACATCTCTGTCACGTTGCAGTTGCATGGATAACTAGATCACCTCACAGGTTAAGCTGCCTTTGGAAAGGTTGGAACCCATGAAGTCTGATTGAGTTTGATATCACTGTTATCTTGACTGTACAGACAATGTATCACAACAATGCTGAACTGAAGTGCAATATGGAAATTAAAGTGCACCATAACAATCTAGCCATCTTACATCCCACTGTGACTTATTTATTTTTTTCCTTGCTTTATTCCTGAAATCTTTCCGTTTCATGCTTAGCTCTTCTCCCATAACATCTAATCAAATTTCATTTTATTTTTCATTTTGTAAGTCTCATATGGGCGTCTTCAAAACTGAAACCAATTAAGCAACATCTGCAGACAACAGAACACTCTCAAGTGTGAACAATGAAATTTCTTCTAAGACAAGAGAGTGAGCAGAGCGCACTCTCAACAAGTCTGGGAAAACAAAAGCCATGTTTGTATCCCAGTTGGAGCTTCCAGTGTGTTGCCACCTGGCTCTAAAGAGCTCTATAAATCAAGAGCTGATCCAGCCTTTGCAATCAGAAACACTAATTAAGTTTAGCCTGCTGCCAACTAGTCTGGTTTAGGTATATTATGTGTTAACAATATAGGAATGTAAAGCAATGATTACTTGCTTTTGTAGAAGATATTTTTATTTAACTTGATTATTTTTTTCTTTTTTTTAATTCTCCAAATCTCACTAGAGAACCTCACAAAGGTTATATGGAGACATTTCTCCTATCTCTAACTTAATTTATTTTATGCTTCATCACAAGTCTCTGAGATTGGGATGTTTCTTTATGGGGTAATTATAATATCCCTGTAAGGTTTTATTACCTTAACATACTGCATATATTCACAACCCTAACTCTGGTTTAGTATGCATTTTAAAATAATTACTATGTGGTACAGAAAAGCATGTGGTGAAAGAGAGAAATTAGATACCAAAAAAGTCTCTGAGGGAAGATGTACCCTGTCCACATTCCGATCCTCCCTGTAAGAGTGTCCAAATGGGGTTGGACCTGAAAAAATTAGTGCCACCAACTTGTCAGCTCCTTTGTGCTGGTAGAACAGACTTTATCAGAGCATTGTCAACCTGAAGAAATAAAAAATATGAGGTGAGGTTTCCACATCATGACTTCGATCATGCGGTTGGAAACAAAAACACTATGGGGAGAGGGGCTGGGTGTGTGTTTGCAAATGTGTGTTTGCAAATGTGAGGATTAAAAGTTCATCTTTTCTTTAGGCAAGATGAGCTTCTTACAAATCTTATGTAACTTAGAGTTGTAGGTCTAAGGGAAAAACCACAAACTTTGGTAAGGGCTTGAAGACTAACACTGCTGGTAAACAGTTACTGTCTGTAAACACCATTAACATATCCACCCCCACACAGCTGGTCCACTGGCTGTGGCAGCAAAGGGGTCAGCACAGATGAGCTGCCAAATGTCCCAGTGCAGCCCTGAACAGGTTATTTTGCAGTGGCTGTGTAAAAGCCCCACTACTACCCATCACTTTAAGCAGCTGGATGTATGGTGGGGGCACGATGGAATCAGGAGCTATGGTGTGGACCTGCCTGGAGGGAACTGGATAGGACTATCACCTATGTCTTCACAGCAAACATGTTGTCCATCCTTTTTCCTAAGCAGATATGGGAAGTCTTTACAGTTTGGTCTGCAAACATAATGTTTCCCTTTTCTTTGTTAGAAAGAACAGAGACTGTCATGACAGACTTGTGCTCCACAGGCTTATCTTTCCTCAGGCAGTGGTACCTGAGCTCTTGGTGCCACTAGTAGGGCTACAAAAGAAGCAATTAATTACAATATAAAACAACATTAATAGTTATTACTTACAGATAATGTAAGATGCAGGAAGACAAGTGCCATAAATTAAGCAAACACCTGATGTGGGCATCTCAGAGTTACCTTGCAGCACCTCCATGGAGGGAAACAGTCTTTACCACACCACTTATTACCAGGGGCTTGATCAATGACAGAGGCCTCTGTCACCTTTCATGAGCACTAAAGTCACCACCTAGGCCTCTAACTGTTTTTCAGAGAAAGAAAATTTGGATTGGTTCAGTGAGAACTCATTTTACAAAGAAATTTTCACATGGATTATCTACAGACACCACAAAATCTGCACAATACCACCCCAAAACAAATGGGAAGATGCTTTATGAACTACATAAATGCCAATAGAGAAAATTAATGGCCTGCTCCAGCTATTTACAGCCAGCATTTTTGCATTTTTCCCTGTTTTCTTTGCCTTGTCCCTATGCCCATCAATACAGATGTTAATTTTACTAAAATACATTTTCCTTTACAGTTCTGATACATCTCCTTATGTCTTCTCTTACAATCTTGCCATTTCTGCAGTGAGCTCTTTAAAGCAGTTTCCAATTATATCCTGAGCTGTGAAGTTTTTGAAGATTCTGTTTGAAAAATGCTGCAAGAAAAAATAGGCTGAACTGAATAAAGAGATTTTTAACATTTAGATGTCTAGTGTGTATAAGAGCCATTCAGAACATGGGGTAGGATGAGGCTCTGATAAATGATGAGGGTATCAGCTCCCTTGCTGTTTTCCTTCTGGAACAGTAGGATTTATGCCATGCAACTTCCTTAACCTAGGTCAACTTCATCATAGACATCTGATTCAGTCCTTGTGATGAAGTAGCTCAAGAAAAAAGAAATGGGGCAGGAGGTGATGAGTAAGAGGGACTGGGTTATAAGCTTTGGCACCATGTTACTACACACATACAAGCAATGGAAATGTCTATAAAGGAATAAGACAAAATTGTAGAAACAAGTCATGTTATGCTTTACTGTGAAAGTTTTGAGGAAATTGTTTTAGTGCTGTTTGCCAGTACATGTCTGCCTTTAGAACAATAATGATACTTGTGTTTACAAAAAGCACTCTGAAATGTTCAGAAAAGACTACATGAGTATTATGTAGGAATATTCCCAAGTTTCTTAATAA